ATTGAACTCTGGTCCTTGTGCTTGCACAGCAGGCGGCGAAACCACTGAGCTAAATCCCCGGCCCATCACCACTATTCTTTCTGACCCCCTGTTGAATTTATTTTTCTGATTCACAGTCTCCTTTCTTTCCAGAAAAGCTATGTTCCATATCGTGACAGCAAAATGACACGGATCCTCCAGGACTCTCTGGGAGGAAACTGCCGGACGACTATGTTCATCTGCTGTTCACCATCCAGTTACAATGATGCAGAGACCAAGTCCACCCTGATGTTTGGGCAGCGGTCAGTGGCAGAGCCCCTAGAGGGAGCTCCCATCTTAGCTCCTGTAGCTGTTCCTGGCAGTGTTGCCCAAGCCAAATGCAGGTTACATCTCCTTGTTTCTTTTCCCTTCCCAGGGCAAAGACCATTAAGAACACTGCTTCAGTGAATCTGGAGTTGACTGCTGAGCAGTGGAAGAAGAAATATGAGAAGGAAAAGGAAAAGACCAAGGCCCAGAAGGAGACAATTGCAAAGCTGGAGGCTGAGCTGAGCCGGTGGCGCAATGGTTAGAGGGGGATCCTGTGAGAAGGAGCGTGGTGAGAGGTGGTGACAGCTTGAACACAGCACTATCTGTGTGTGTAAGGCCAGGCCAGTCTCCAGGAAGGGGTGCTGTGCTTCTGGAGGGGTGCAGTGCAGCAATCAAGAAGGGAGGGCTGACTAACCCTGGCAGGCCCCTCCAAAGGAGGATGGTTCCCAAGGAGGAAGAGACCGAGGTCCTGAAGGTCTTAGCATGGAGGATAAAAGAGGAGGGTTTCTCTTCTCCATCCCTCCCTTCTCTCTGCCCCTCTGCCAGGAGAGAATGTGCCTGAGACAGAGCGCCTGGCTGGGGAGGACGCAGCCCTGGGAGCCGAGCTGTGTGAGGAGACCCCTGTGAATGACAACTCCTCCATCGTGGTGCGCATTGCGCCTGAGGAGCGGCAGAAATATGAGGAGGAGATCCGCCGCCTCTACAAGCAGCTTGACGACAAGGTGAGGGCAATTATCTTATACCAACTGAAACAATTAGCTTATACCACCTTTCTCTGATTTTATTTTATTTATTTTTTCCTTTCTCTGATTTTAAAAAGGATAAATATCATTGCAAATGTGTAAAGTAAATAAAAATACAAAGAAGAAAGTTAAAACTGTCCATTACTCTGCCATTCAGAAATAACATTTTGTTTTTCTCCTTGAATTTACTATGCAGTTGAGATATCCTGTATGTATGATTTTGTATCCATTTTTTTCACTCAGCATATTATGAACAATTTTTTACTTCATTAACAATTTTTCATGTTTTTTAAAATGGCTGCCTAAGAGTCCATTTATGAAGACATACTTAACCATTTATTTATTACAAGGCTTGCAGTTTGGTTTTTTTTTTGCAGTTTTTGTTTTTGCTATTTTGAGTAACTTGGAAATGACTTTGTCCTTTATGTATAAGACTTTTTTTTTTCAGTATTGAGGATTGACCACAAGGCCTCATGCATGCTAGGCAAGTGCTCTAGTGTTGGACTACATCCTCAGCCCTTTTTTATTTGTTTTGAGATAGGGTCTCACTGTGTAGCCCAGGCTGGCCTCAAACTCATGGTGATCCTCCTGCTTCAGCTTCCCTAATGCTGAGATTACTTATAAACATGTGCCACCACACCCAGCTTTATTTTTTATTTCAATATGTGGTCTTGCTAAATTGCCTAAGCTGGCCTTGAACCTGCAAATCTCCTGCCTCAGCCTCCTATACCACCATACCTGGCTAAGACTTTTTTTTTTTTTTTTGGCACCGGGGATCGAACTCAGATCCTTCTGCTTTCGAGGCAGGTGGTGGCACCACTGAGCTAAATCCCCGGGCCAAGACTTTTTTTTGAGACAGGGTCTGCCTTTTTAGTACAGGGTGGGATTAAACTCACTATGTAGCCCAGGTTGGCCTCAAACTCGAAGCAGTCCTCAGCCTCCCAAGTGCTGGGATTATAGGCGTGTACCACCTCACCAGGCACTAAGACTTAGATTTTGAATGACTGGGTTTAAAAGGGAGAGTTAGAATGAGATTTCTAGTTAAAGGATATGAACATATAAAGGCTTTTCAGTAAAAGCCTTTATATGGCACAGTGGCACATGTCTGTAATCCCAGCAACTCATTAGGCTAGGCAGAAAGACTAGGTTTGAGGCTAGCATGGGCAATCTAGGAAGACCCTGTCTCAAAATAAGAGGGCTGGGGATTTAGCTCAGTGGTTCCATCACCTGCCCTGCAAGTGCAAGGACCCAGTTCTATCCCCGGTACCAAAAAAAAAAAGGATGCTGGACGTGGTGATACACACCTGTAATCTCAGCACTAGAGAGGCTGAGGCAGGAAGATTGCCATGAGTTCGAGGCCAGCCTGGTGTGCCTAGTCAGTTCAAGGCCAGCCTGAACTACATAATGTGACCCTATCTCAAATGGGTGGGGTTGTAACTCAGTGCAAAGGCCCTGGGTTTAATCTTCTGTAGCACACACACACACACACACACACACACACACACACGCATGCTCAAAAATAAAACAAAGCTTTGGCTATGTATTGTCAAGGTTATATTAGCTTCCTAGGAGAAAGAAATTTAAAGGTAAGGACTAGAGTCAGGGAAACAAGGTGAGAAAAAGACCTCTGTTTAGCATATAGGCTTCCTAGCTCAATGCCTAAACTGGATTTTGCTCAGGATCCCACCTCTCCCCCTGCCCCAGAACTCCACGATGGAAGGAGTAGCTTCCCTCTCCTGGGTCTTTTGCCTCCACAGGATGATGAAATCAACCAGCAGAGCCAGCTCATCGAGAAGCTCAAACAGCAGATGCTGGACCAGGAGGAGGTAATGGGAAGGGACAAGATGACAGAGAAAAGGGGTTTGTATTCATCCCTGCAAGATGTGAAAAAATTTCTTTCTTTAAATAAAAACTGATGGAAGAAAGAACATTCTGCTTAGGGTTAGTCACCCCCTAAAACTATGGGAGTCTGGGAACTTCTCTGGGGCTGTTCTTGAAGCCCAGATATTGGTGTCCAGGTTCTTCTTCATTCTGTTTCCTGATTTCTGTGGGCCCAATGCCCACTTCTGGACTCTTGCTTTGGTGGAGGGCTCAGTTTCCATAGACTCAGGGGCCGTAGAAGTGATCATTGATAGCACACTCCCTCACATACCCCTTCTCCTATGAAGCTGCTGGTATCCACTCGAGGAGACAATGAGAAGGTCCAGAGAGAGCTGAGCCACTTGCAGTCGGAGAATGATGCTGCAAAGGACGAGGTGAAGGAAGTGTTGCAGGCCCTAGAAGAGCTGGCAGTGAACTATGATCAGAAGTCCCAGGAGGTGGAGGAAAAGAGCCAGCAAAACCAGCTTCTGGTGGATGAGCTGTCCCAGAAGGTGGTGAGTGGCCTACAAGTATTCCAAGGCTCCCTGACCTCAGCACAGATCCCATGTCTGAGGTGTGTGATGTTCTCATATGAGCACTGCAGTCCAGCGTGTCATGACTCCCTCCCACTCTGCTACTGCCCCTTGCCCTCCTGGCCCTTCTCTCTTCCAGACACTCCTCAGGTTCTGTGCTGCCTTTGTGGAAGCCCTCGGGGTCATGCTTGAAGTGGGGAGGGGAGCAAGAGGATTGTGATGGGAATGACATAAGGGCTGTCCTCAGGCCACCATGCTGTCTCTGGAGTCTGAGTTGCAGCGGCTCCAGGAGGTCAGTGGACACCAGCGAAAGCGAATTGCTGAGGTGCTGAATGGGCTGATGAAAGACCTAAGTGAATTCAGTGTCATCGTGGGCAATGGTGAGATTAAGCTGGTGAGTGGGGAGAGACAGCAGTCCTGTGTAGGTTGTTCCTGCTGTGTGCACTGGTGGGAGAGCCATGGAGGGACCATCCAAGCCCTCTGGGATACTGAGACAGATGGGCCAAAGAGCGAGGAAACATGGCCTTAAACTAGACTCAGGAAACCAGGTGGAGGTTGTATAGGCTCAACTGCAAAATACATTCTGAAGTGTACAAATAAAGAAGCAATAATGATGAACTTATAGCAGAATCTAGTGGTGGGGAGAAGGTTAAGAATGATATATGCAGGGCTGGGGATTTAGCTCAGTGGTGCCATGCCTGCCTCACAAGTGCAAGGTCCTGAGTTCAATCCCTGGTACCAGGAAAAAAAAGAATGATATATGCAAATCTGTGCAAGTGAGAATGAGTGATCTGGGTGATCAAGCAGATCCATTTGTCTAGAAAACAAAATCAAGCCGGGCATGGTGGTAGACACCTGTAGTCTCAGCTTCTCTTGGAGGCTAAGCCAGGAAGTTGGCTTGAGCTCAGGAGTTTGAGACCAGTCTGGGCAACAGAGCAAAACCCCTGACTCAATATCATATTGCTTTTTAAGGTTGGAGAAGAGGACTGTGGGAATTGAATGTCCAAGTGGAGATAAAGGGCTTCAGTATGAAATGCCAGGTGATAGAGAGCCACTCATGGTCATTTGGAAGTACCCATCCCACCTGAGTGTTGGTTGTGCAAAAGGTGGACAGGAGTAGGTTAAGGCTTCTCTGCAGCAGCGAAGCAACTTTTCCTTCTCTGCCCACCCTCAGCCAGTGGAGATCAGTGGAGCCATCGAGGAGGAGTTCACTGTGGCCCGACTCTACATCAGCAAAATCAAATCAGAGGTGAAGTCGGTGGTGAAGCGGTGTCGACAGCTGGAGAACCTGCAGGTGGAATGTCATCGAAAGATGGAAGTGACTGGCCGGGAGCTTTCATCCTGTCAGCTCCTCATCTCGCAGGTGAGTGCCTGATGTTGAGAATGTTTGGGTGACATGGGAGAAAGAAGACTGTTCTGTGATTATGGATACAACTTCTACACCCAACCTTTGTGTCAGCATCCTAGGGTCAACTGAAATCAAGAACAGAAAAGCTAGGGCGGCAGAGGGAGGATCTAACCAAATAGGTGAAGGAGTACATCCTCTGAGCCAAGAGTCTGAAAGGAAGTTTTTTTTGTAGGAATAGCCCCTGGCCCTTTATCCTCCTGGATGGCACAGCAGGAGGGAAGAGCTTGGGAGGAAAGCTGGAGTTTATGGAAATGTGTGTTGCTTGGGGTTGTGTCCTTTCCTCCAATCATCTCCTTTCTCTTGCTAACCTTCTTCCACCAGCATGAGGCCAAGATCCGCTCACTTACGGAATACATGCAGAGTGTGGAGCTGAAGAAGCGGCACCTAGAAGAATCTTATGACTCCCTGAGTGATGAACTGGCCAAGCTCCAGGCCCAGGGTGAGGCCTCCTTAGACCTCTATCCCACCCATCCTGGGACCTAATATCCCAGGGGCCAAGGAGGGAAAGTCACAAACCTCAGAAGAAACCACCCAGCTGCCCCTCACCCAAACGATCAGCTTGATCTACGGATGCCAGCTCATGCCATTTAACAAAGCCTTTGCATGTAGCTCATTTTATGTGACCCATAATCCCTCCCATCTTCTCTGTCCCTGTCCTATCAGATTGGACTGTCCTACCAGAAGAACATCTTGTGGTCCATCCCCTTCCAGGCCCAGAGCTCTGTCCCAAAATGAAGTCCTTACTGTAAGAGGTAGGTTTGATATAAGGTTTCTTCCCTTCTTCCCTTAGAAACGGTGCATGAAGTGGCTCTGAAGGACAAGGAGCCAGACACACAGGATGCAGATGACGTGAAGGTGAGTGGGGAAGGTGTGACTGGGGTGACTGGGGCCTGGTATGGTGAGGACTGTACTGGCCCTCATGGAACTTGTACCTGGAGTCTGGCTCTGAGCTTGGGGTGGGGTTGTTTGCAGAAGGCCCTGGAGCTGCAGATGGAGAGTCATCGGGAGGCTCATCACCGGCAGCTGGCCAGGCTCCGGGATGAGATCAACGAGAAGCAGAAGACCATTGATGAGCTCAAAGAGTAAGGATCCGAGCGGGTGGCTCTAGTCTCTGCCGAGTCCTCTTACCTTGCTGTACCCACTCAAGTCCTTCTTTGGGATTGGGTTCTTTAATTTCCATATATCTTTCCCCAACAATAACAACTTTTTAGTGTGGTTCCAGGAGATACAAGGAGTAAGAACTAGTCCCTATCCTTGAGGAGAGTTCAGGGTTCCTTATTGTCATGGAGACAGTGGCATGAGTTGCTGAAGGTAGATGTGTCAGCTTTTTAAAAAAATTAATTGTATTAGTAAATTTTATTTTTTTATTGGTACATTTTAGATATAATGTTAACATTCATCATAGAGAATTTGTACCTGCATATGATACATCTTGCTTCTTTTTTTCCCATTTCCCTCCCCTCCCTTCAACCCCTCTTCTCTTCCTTATTTACAAAAGCTTTGTTTCCATTTTTTCCCTTTATTCATTTTTTTCCTTTCCCCCTCCTTCCTTCCTAGTTCCCCTTCCCATTTGAACATTTTTTTTCCTATTTCACAATATATTATACATTTTGATCCTTCTTTATACTTTCAGTTTCTCACACCAGAGAAACCATGGAATATTTGAACACATGTGTCCAATTTATTTCATTTAAGAGTATGGTCTCAAGGTGCATCCATTTAACTAGAAATGTCTTAAGCTTATCCTTCTTTATGGCAGAGTAGTACTCCATTGTATTTTTTTAAAAACCCACATATTCTTTATCCATTCATCAGTTGATGGGAATTTGGGCTGTTTCCGAGATTTAGCTATTACAAACTGTGCCACTATAAACATGGGTGTGCATGTATCACTGTGATATGATGCTTATAATTCTTTCAGGAAGATACAAAGAAAGAGAAGAGCTGGGTCAAATGGAACCTCTAGTTTTAGTTTTTTGAGGAATCTCCACACTGATTTCCACAGTGGTTGTACCAGTCTATGCTCCCACCAACAGTGGAGAAGGGTTCCTTTTTCCTATTGGTAGATTTCTTTTTGTTGTTGTTGTTGTTGTTGTTCGTTTTTTTGCTTCCTTTTTTTTGGTACTGGGGATCGAACTCAGGACTTTGCGCTTGCAAGGCAGGTGTGGTGCCCTGAGCTAAATCCCCAGCCCTTATTGGTAGGTTTCTTGATAATAACCATTCATTCTGGAGTAAGATGGAATCTCAGCTTTGTTTTAATTTGAATCTCTTAGTGACCAGTGATGTTGAACATTTTTTCATATAGCTATTTGCCATTTCTACTTCTTCAACTGAGAAGTGTCTATTCACTTGAGATGCCCATTTTTGGATTGGGTCCGTAAAATTGGGGGGGTCTGATTTTTTTGAGTTTTTTATATATTCTAGATAGTAGTCCTTTGTCTGAGGAATAGCTAGCAACATTTTTTTCTCTTGCTGTGGGTTGTCTCTTCACTCTGTTGGTGGTTTCTTTTGCTGTGCAGAAGCTTTTTAATACGATGAGGTCCCAGTTGTTGATTTTTTTGCAATAGTCCCTGTGCAATTGAGGTTTTGGTCATAAAGTTTTTTTCCTGCATGTATGTCTTCAAGAGTTCTACCTATTTTATCTTCTACCAGATTTAGTGTTTCTGTTTTAATATTTAGATCTTTGATCCATTTTGATTTTAGTTTAGTGCATGGTAAAAGATATAGATCTAGTTTTAGTCTTCAGCATGTGTAAAGCCAGTTTTTCCAACACCATTTATTGAAGAGGCTATCTTTCTTCTAGTGAAGATGTTTGGCCCCTTTGTCAAAGATAAGGTAGATGAGTATGTCTGGAATTGTTTCTGCATTATTTATTTATTTATTTATTTTTGGTACTGGGGATCAAACTCAGGACCTTGTGCTGGCGAGGCAGGCATGGTGCCACTGAGCTAAATCCCCGGCTCTGCATCTTTTAGTCTGTTCTTTTGATCCTGAGGTCTGTTTTTTGCCAGTACCATGCTGTTTTTATCACAGTAGCTTTGTAGTATAATTTCAAGTCAGAGATTGTGATGTTCCCTGCCTTGCCTTTGTTGAGATGCACCAATTCTAACTGGACTCACTCACACAGGAAGTAGGCAAATGTCTGAGGGCCTGTTCATCCCTGACTGCTCATCAGCATCTTTTTTTTTTCCCAATACCTTCTGTAGCCTGAATCAGAAGCTCCAGTTAGAGCTGGAGAAACTCCAGGCTGATTACGAGAAGCTGAAGAATGAAGAACATGAGAAGAGCACCAAGCTTCAGGAGCTGACGTGAGTGACGGTCTTGCCAGCAGGCCCAAGGCCAGATGGGCTCAGCACTCTGTGCAGATGTGCTTGCAGAGGCAGGGTGCATGTGGAGCCGTGATGTGGTGATGGGGTAGTCAGGAATGACCGCTGCTGAGTATTAGCTGACCTCGATGGAAAGAGCCTTGTGATGTTCTGGGAAGTGTGGAAAGCAGATTACAAAATAGTATGAATACTCTGATCTCATAAAGTTTATATGTAGAGGGATAGAAAAAATAGTCTGCAAAGATGTATGCCAGGTGGTTCATGGTGGTTTGATCTAAAAGTAGTAAAATCATGGACTTTTAATAAAATTTCTCTTAGTTCTCTTTTTAAATTCTTTCCTAATTTTTGCACAGTAAACATAAATAATGATAGAACAGAGATAAAAGGAATGGAGAAGGAGGGGGTTGGAAGAAGAGTCCTGAGGAATCTTTTTTTTTTTTTTTTCTTGGTACTGGGGATCAAACTCAGGACCTTGCACTTACCAGGCAGGTTTTGTACCACTGAGCTACATTCCCAACCCATGAGGAATCCTTTTGTTTTCTCTTTTCTTATTTCTCTTGCTGCAGATTTCTGTACGAGCGACATGAGCAGTCCAAGCAGGACCTCAAGGGTCTGGAGGAGACAGTTGTGAGTGATTTTCTTTTATGCCAAGTAAACAGGGTAGGGGAGGGCTTCATTTCCCTCTTCCCACCAATTCCTTCCTAACCCTGTTTCTCCAGCCCTTTGGGAGTTAGTCTATGGCAGTGGTAGTGAACCTATGGCATTCATGCCACAGCCAGCTGTTTATTATCATTCAGAGCTCTAAAAGGTTTGTCAACATTGGTCTGTGGCATAACCAAGACACATCTTTTCCTAAAAGACAAGTGATGCACTTGACTGTATAGACTGAAGGTTCCAGTAATTTTGAAGGGAGAAAATAAACATGGTATCTGGATATCCCTAATTTTTTGGTCATTCTTTCCAGGCTCGTGAACTCCAGACCCTCCACAATCTTCGCAAGCTGTTTGTTCAAGACGTCACGACTCGAGTCAAGAAAGTAAGTGCTACTTTCTGGATCCTACCAACCCCGTGTCCTCCGCCCCTCCTCAGCTTTCTGCAGCTCTGCTGCCTCTGTGGGGCTGGCTTGCCCTGGCTTAGGTGGGGCCTGTTTGGCCTCAGGACAGCCACATCTTTCCCTCTATCTCTAATCAGAGTGCAGAAATGGAGCCCGAGGACAGTGGGGGGATTCACTCCCAAAAGCAGAAGATTTCCTTTCTTGAGAACAACTTGGAACAGCTTACAAAGGTTCACAAACAGGTAAGAGCCCAGATAAGGGGTGAATTTTTTTTTTTTTTTTTTTTTTTACTGGGGATCGAACTTGGGTCCTTGCACTTGCAAGGCAGGCGGGGCAACCACTGAGCTAAGTCCCCGGCCTCTCCCAGCCTCTATTGAATTTGTAGTTTTTTTTTGTACTGGTAATCGAACTCAGGACCTTGTGCTTGCAAAGCAGGCAGCAGAACTACTGAGCTAAATCCCCGGCCAGAGTTTCCTCTAATTTTATAGAATTTGGCCATTAAATGAGAATTGGAGTGAAACAAGGAAGGGAAAATATATATGTTCAAATTGCCATTAGAAGAGCATATTTTTCTCTTTTCATGTATTCTCTTAACACTTTTTAAAGGATGAGGGCACATATCTTTGCTTTCCTAGTTCTCTTTGGTCTGAGAGATGCTTGTATTGTTAGACATAGCTGATGGCTGAGTCTGCAGTTTAATTTTGGTAAGTTGCCAATACTCACTGTTAACCAACTATTAATATAAGGAGAAAAGAACTGTTAATCATATGAAAATCACTTCATGGTTGACCTAGTAATAGCTTATCTAGTAGCAAC